TCCAAGTACTAACCAGGCCCGACCCTGCTTAACTTCCGAGATCGGGCGTGCTTTTTTTTTTTTTTATTAAACATTAAATCAACATACAACTTTAAGGGTACAAACTTTTAACAGACACTTTTAAAACATCATAAAATCAACCGTAATCATCAGGCATTTTCCAGTTAAAATCTTCAAAGATCTTACACACATCACCTGTAAAAACATGGTAAAAGTAATTGAGCTTATCCGAGTTCTTGAAATAAGAATACAGACATTTTAGATAGTTTTCAACTTTTTGTTTAAATATCCTTTCAATGTCCATGACAGTTTTCTCTCTTTTTGCCACCACCCTCCTCTCCCATATAGCCCCCTTTATGAGCATGACAAGTAGGTTAATGACTTTTCCATTTTTACATTTCTTGTGTTCACCCAACATTACAGTTTTATTCCAGTCCGTTTCATTTTCGCATTGCCCTCCTTTCAAAAGTTCAAATAGTCTTTTGCATTTTGCTTTAAAAAATTCCAGTTCTTTGCAATGTAAAAACACGTGTAGGAAACCTTCGTCCTCTTCATTGCATACTTTACAGATGGAGCTCTGCTCCATTCTGATCTTGTGTAAAATCACGTCCGTAAAAATTGCTTTGTGCCTGATTAAAAATTCCAAATTTCCCAGTTTTGTTTCAACGAGCCTTCCTTTCATGTTACTCCATACGTTTTCCTCTTTCAGGTCTTTATATTTCTGCATCCAGTAGTTGTTTGCATTAGGTTTCTTAAAAATCCCATCTCTAAAAACACCATAAACCATTTTGACAGTACATTCCTTAAAAACATGTATTTTCTCACCAAACATTGTGTACACATCTTTCTCCGGTTTACCCGGTTCCATACTTTCAATTTTCTCAATCCAGTCTTGCGGTATAGCGTTTTTATTCATGCAGTACTTATTTGTGATCTCTTGTCTGGTATAGTCCTCCTTTCCTCCATAGTGTCGACAACGTATTGAACTTGTAAAAAACCCTCTTTGAACTCATACAGAACATCTCTCACTCTCGTAATCCTCACATCCCACCATTTCTTAAAAAACAGCTCTTTTGCTTGATTCACGATGTTCTTGTTTAAAAACAAAGGTTGATTTAAAATGTCTTCTCTTCCCTTTGGGATGTAATGCACATACTTTAAAAACTCTCCCCACACTGTAAAAAAGGATTTGAGACTTTAGCTTCCCCAACTCATTTTCCTAAGTCAGTTCAACTAAAATGTTGGGTACACTTAAGATATTAAGTTTACCAGTGCCCAACTAATCCGTTTAATCAGAGTAGTTCACGCAACAAAGATTTCTTAGTTGTATGAGTGGCAATGCAAGGAAACCCCGCCCACCGAGCCTTCCTCGCAGAACAGGTCGCCATGCTTGAAGACTGACGAAAAGCTTCAATTTTTGAGTCAAGAGTTCCAGAGGTAAGAGCAAACTTATGTCCAGCTTGTATTTATGAAAAATGTTTGATACATTAGGGTAAAGAGTAATATTACACAGGTTGTCAGTGTAATCCTCACGGCAGTGTTGTACGGAGTGTAAAACATGGACAAAAATATATGTATAGTGATCACGTATTTTAAGGTGTAACGTTAAACTAGATAAATACAGGGTTGTCAGTGTAATACTCTTGCCACTGTTTTTATAGAACCCTGCACGTGATATGTGGACAAAAATATATTTCTAGTGGCCATGAATTAGTTCCCTCGTGATAGTGAAATCGTGTCCATGATTAATAATTCTTTCGCTGGACTGTTTTATTCAATTGTGGCCATGATGTAATTTGTTAACGTTACCTCATTTCTAAATAAATCGAGTGAACAGTTTAACCCATCTTAAACGTTAAACCTTTATTTGTGTCCATTTGATTGTGATATATTTTAGGCCTTACATTTTCAACGGACATTTATCAGTAGCCCCTGCAAGGAAACCCCATCGCGTCAGAACAGGTGCCGCGCCACGGCTGACGAAGCCTCCATTTTGAATTAAGACTTCTTGATTGAGGTAAGAGCAAACTTATGTCCAGCTTGTATTGATGAAAATGTTTGTTAAATTAGGGTAAACTAGAGAAATATTAAACGGGTTGTCAGTGCATCCTCGCGGCAGTGTTGTATGGAGTGTAAAACATGATATGTGGACAAAAATATATTTATAGTGATCACGTATTCGTTTCTCATTTCATGACTTCATTATTTCGTTATAATTAGTTAACGTTAAGAGGATTGTTCATTTGACTTAATTCGTTCCCTGTTTTATTTAACTGTGGCCACGTTGTATTTCGTTAATTCTTTAATTAAAATGAGTTGCGGTGACATTGTAGTTTACCTCATTTTAATTAAAACGAATTAACAATTTAGTACAACATGGCAACAATTTACTGAAACAATTTTATTAAACGTTAGAAGATGAATTAATATGAGTCAATGATATTTTCACTGCAATAATGTGCACATTATTGCCACGTGTATTTAACAGAACTAAACTTTCGAGTTTTATATGTTCATTTGATTGTGATATATTTTAGGTCATAGGCCTAAATTTACAACGGACATTTAACAGAAGCCCCTGCAAGGAAACCCCACTGCCTCAGAACAGGTGCCAGGGCTGACGAAGCCTCCATTTTGAATTAAGACTTCTTAATACAGTAATTGAGGTAAGAGCAAACTTATGTCCAGCGTGTATTCATGAAAATGTTTGTTAAATGAGTAAAAGTACCAATTAAGGTCACCAAAATCTGCCTTGTGCACATATTTAATTTTAACAACTTCTTGTACTGAAACCAATAACTTGTGCACTAAAAATGTGCACAAGGCAGATTTTGGTGACCTTAATTGGTACTTTTACTCATTTAACAAACATTTTCATGAATACACGCTGGACATAAGTTTGCTCTTACCTC